ATGCCTCAGCTAATCCATGCAAGCCAATCATAAGCTTGCCTAAAATGCTAAGATTTCAGGGATGACTTGTGTTAGGTAACACTTTCCACATAGTTCAGTGCATCTTGCATGTCCCTGCAGGTGTCTTAAAGTGAACCTGGTAGGATATAAATATGGGAACCGACCTTGATGACAGTAGAAAAGCAGCTGCTGGCTGGTCTGTATGCACATTTCTATTCTTTGTCTTGTGCTGGTGACCCAGTGACATAGGGGAAGAGGTAGAGCAGCAACAGGGGGCAACACAGCCAGGGATCGGACACTCCTGGAAGTGTCAGAATTCTGTGAAACTTTCAATTATTAAAACTTAATTAAAAGGGAAATTCCACCTTTTGACAGAAAAAATTATAAATGCCCACGTCATAAAAGAAAACATGTGCATTTTTTTTTTTTGCATTAGAGCCATGCATAACATGGATTTGTGGGCGGAGCCACACACAGCCATGACAACATTTTAAAATGTAAACAAGCCTGCAGAGAGAAAAACCCCATGATGCTGGTTAGGGCTGGAGGGGAGCGGTGGGATTGGGATCTGACCATGTTTCACATTATACTAGACATGTGCACTGCCAAAAAATTAGTTTTGTTTCGTTTCGTTTTAAATTCTGATTTGTGTTATTTCGTTTTTCGGGATTCGGGTGTGAAAGTCATTTCGGATTCGGAATTCGGACGAAATCGTTAGCGGTAGTTCGTTCGAACGTTCGTTTCGTTTGCGTTTCTTATTCGTTTCGTGCATTCGTTCATTCGTTTGCAGCAAAGTGACATATGAGGGGGTAGTTTTTCTTCAACGAACGAAACGAATAAGAAACAAAAACGAAACGGACTTTCGAACGAACTACCGCTAACGAATTTTGGAAATGGAAATTCGGATTCGTTTGCATTCGTTATATCTGTAATTCGGAATGCGGATACATCCGAATTTCGATTCGGAACGAAACGAATCGCACATGTCTACATTATACCCAAAATATAGGTGTAATATGAAACATGGTCATAAAGTAAACTTAGCCTTTAAGATAAAGAAAAGTGCAAAAAAGGGAATACTGTTTCTATCAATCTTGCGCTACTGCTACAAGGTTTTGATTAGAAAAACAGATCTGGTAATTAAAAAGTCAAATATGTGACTACAAGCAAATATGTTACAGTTATAATCTGACTAGGACACAATCTTCACAAAGTCCACAGACTTTATGTCTGCATTATCTCAGCAATATTTAGCAAGATCCTGAACAGAGATATGTATGTACCCTTAGCCTTCAGTAAAACACCCAGACTGATCTAATATATACAATACTAAGACCACTAGAGGCGGTTTAATTAAAAAAGAACTGGGCACTCATATTCTTCAATTATATTGTTCATATGCCTTAATAATACACCTCTGAAAAAGCCAAAACCTTAAAAATGGGTGATCTGTTTACATAGCAACTCCACTTCTGGGATAATTTTTGGCCCAGGACACATAGCATCTAACAGGGTTATTCACAGAAGGGTGAAACGTATGTAAAAGAGAGGAGAAGTGAAAAATGTATGCCAACATTTAATTTTTTTTGTTAATTTTTAACTATTTAAAGGTGCAAGGTGGTAGAAAAAACTTGATGGACACGGACATCCGTTCTGATCAGGAGGGGATCCATGCATGGATCCCCTCCTGATTGGACCATTTGTAAGGGACCGTAAACATTTGTCACAGGAACAAGTTTCCCGATTAGGAGATTTTCCCCTCTATTCCTGTTCTGGTGGCAGCTCAAAATTTTGGATTTTCACTCACATTTACAGGGCTATTCACAAAAGGGTGAAGAGTTTGGAGAAGGAAGGAGAAAAGAACAATCTAGGACAACACAGCTGATTTTGAAAACATTCTCCAATTCAGCTCACTTTCTGGTTCAGCTATGTTGTCCTAGATTGTTCACTTCTCCTGTCTTCTCCAAACTCTTCACCCTTTTGTGAATAACACTGTTAGTCCTTGTGACAATGGTCACCATGACAAACAGCAGTGTGAATCCATCTAGCAGGGACACGACCAGCAGCCAAAATAGTAGATATAAAAAGTACATAGCTCTATTCAAACTGTCATTATGCACAATTAGTTAAGTATGTAAAAAAACAAAAGGCCACATAAATTATACTGGTTGTGCATTAACTGCTCAGCAACACTCCTCGCCTGTGGCTACTTTTTGTTTAGTGACTAAGCACAATAACACTTCTGCCTTACAGTACTGGGGGTTTCCAGTTTTAACCCTGGTCAGGACACTATCTGCATAGAGTTTGCATGTTCTCTCTGTGCTTGTGTGGGTTTCGTCCGGGTACTTCGATGTCCTCCCACACTCCAAAGACATACTGGAAGGTTAATTGGCTCCTGTCTAAGTCGGCCCCAGTATATGTATGTGTGTGCGTGTATGTATGCATGTGAGATTTTAGATTGTAAGCTCTTTGACTGATGGTAGGGACTTGTGAATGTGCAGTTATGTAGAGTGCTTTGTAAATTGTCAGCACTATATAAATACCTGTGATAAATAAATTAAAAAAAATAACAATCTACTGCAGATCCTCCAACATGGCCTACTCTAGAAGATATAAACACTCTGCTCCTGATTATCTTGCAGTCTTTAATGAAGCTTATCCGAGCTTGGTCATTTAGCAATTGGGAAGGTTTTTCTTGGATATCAGGTAAGATTTATGAGAAAGGCATAGGAGGTGATCAGGAGCAGAGTACATTCTACCGATTGAAGGGAGCTATATTGGAGAGCCTGTAATTGGCCTTTGAACTCTTCAGCTTTACAATAGCCATAAAGCTAGCCACAAGTGGAGACTTGACCATTTCTGCACAACTCACTAAATATGTAAAGTTCCAGTTTGGGTTGAATTTCCATAACAACAACCTATATCTATAAGCAACATTTACAATAGCCATATACAAAATGTGTGTAATATCTGTTTGTGAGTATACTTAAAAGGCTTACTTAAGAAAATGGTAGTTAGAAAAACAAGCAAATATGGTTGTCCTAGGTATGGGCCATATCTAAAATACCTAGGAGGTATCTGTGCTGCTCATTCTATATTGTGCTGGAGGGACAACAGAATCTTTCAAAATGGATTCAAAAGTTGATTCATGTCTGCAACCAAAACACAGACAGGACTACAGGTGTGAACCTGACAAAGTGTAAATTTCCACCCTCCCTTGCTACATATAGTAAGCAAGTGTGTAATCTCACAATATACCCAATCACAGCTCAATTATCTCATTACACTACTACTTGGGTGTTGTGGTTTGCAACATATCATTTTCCTTTGCATTATTATTATTATTATTTAGAAGTTGTGTTTTACTGATCATAGTATAGTTTTTGTTATACATATATTGAATGTTTACTAACATCTACATGGGTGTTGTGATTTGCAACATATCATTTCCCTTTGCACTATTATTTAGAAGTTGTTTAGAAGTTGTGTTTTCCTGATCATAGTATAGTTTTTGTTATACATATATTGAAAGTTTACTAACATCTACATGTACTTGATAGATTAGGTGCTTTTATTAAGGGTGGATTGCATATTAAATCAGCAATGAAACAAAGGCAGAGTTTGTTGGGGAGTAGGGAATCTACTCTATCATTATCTATTTCTGTAACAATGCAAACCAATCTATTTCTGTAATATCATGCAAATCAAAAGTTTGGCAAGTCTGCATGACTTGAACTGCTTGGCACGTCGCACAACAATGCAAAACAAAGGGTATCCCATTATTTTATCTGGGGCCCGTACACACTTATGCGACACGCTTTTGCGCCCACGCTAGTGTGATTTGTTGCATGTTTGTTGACACATGCACATCAATGGCAATCCCTTTCTTCTTTATGGTGCCTGTTCACACCTATGCAACATGATGCAAGGTATGCATGATAATCACACTGCTTCTTCACAGCAGCGATCTCTATGGCTAAGCCCATAATTGGGTGAAATGCGTTAGGGAAAGCAGACCTGAGGTGGGACATTCTGAGGCTGTGAGACTTTCAATAAAAGAGTTTCAGCGAGTTGTTATGCAACATGACGCAGTACAATTTTTAGAAAGATGCAGTTGTTTCTTTTGGTGCTTCACAGTGAAATTTTTGCCCCATAGACTTCAATAGAGACACGTGAAAAAATGCATAGAACATGAACTGTTGTGTATTTTAGTGCATGACAGCAAGCCCCCCTAGCAACCTCTATTTTATTTCAGCCTAATTGGCCAAAACAAAAATACAATACAATAAAAACACACATCAAAGATGTGCTAAAAATGCATAAAAAATGTAGACACACAAATGTGAACAGAGACTTAGAAAATGTTCCAAGTGCTTCTTTTGATGTGACAGTGTGTAAGCCCCATAGACTCCAAAGGGATCTCATTGCATGTATGTAACATGCATTTTCATGTGTTTTAGAGTATGACAACAAGCCCCCACCTCCTAGCAACCTATACTTTACCTTTATTGGCCAAAATGAAATGCACAATGCATGAAAAACGCACAACAAACAAAAATGTGCTAAAAAAGCATTAAAATACAGATGTACAAGTGTAAACAAAGACTAAATGGACGGGTCTTGGTGGGGCAATCCATGGTGGGTCTTTGGAGTGAAACTGAATGCATTGGTGATGATATATTTGACTCATTCCCAGTTAAACTGTCTTAGATCTACTGTCACACTGTGTTCCTAATGTTATGTGAACCGTTCCCATAAGGAGCACATTTCACATTTTTCTACTAAATAGCACTCATCACTCTAGGCAAACAGATACTGGTAGGACAAGCTGCACAAGAAACAAAGAGCTATCTGTATTCGGCATATAGCAACAAGACACGAAACTTCATCTTCTGTTTACAAAACTACAAAGTCTTCCTAGAGTCCCTCATCACAGTCCAGCCAGAAAATGGACCTCAAGCAACAAGCGTTATGGACACACCGATAGATTCCTCACTTACCATGGCAAACTGTGTGGCTGGATCTCAGAATGAAGAGTAGATTGAACATCAAACAACGTAAAGCCACCAATTGAGTAAAATAGGATCCGAGAGACAGAAAATTATGTTTCTTTCCTCTAAAGCAATTTCCAGCTTATTCTTCTATACAAACAAATTTTCCTCCCTTCTTCACAAAGCCTAGTTTAGCACGCAACGGAGTCGGATGACACGGTGTGGAGAGCTAACTTCAAGTTTTCATGTACTTGCCTCTTGTGTACCTGTGAGTCTGTCAGTGACAAGGGTTAACTAGGTGTGAGCATGGTGGGTGTGCCAACAAACTTCCTGACAAAGCTTCTTGGACAAGTACAGAGTCGTCATTTGGCAGAAGATGTAGAATGTGTCTAACCTAATTACTGGATTCGGAGCGGAGTTATCGAAAACATGACATTACTTCATTGATAGAAGAAGTGAACTCTAATAGAAGTGCTGATGTCAGCTATATCTCTACAGGATCATTACTTGTATTTCAAATATGTGCACATGCTACTTCCGATGTTGTGTCGCAGACAGAAATCTGTCTGAAACAATTCTGCAACAGATACAGTCATGGCCAAAAGTATTGGCACACCTGCATTTCTGTCAGATAATGCACCACTTTGCGCAGAAAATTGTTGCAATAACAAATGTTTAGGTATTCTCATGTTTATTTCTTTTGTTTGTATTGGTATGACACAAACAAGTGGAGAAAAAAAAGCCAAATCTGACACATTCCACGCAAAACTCCAAAAATGGACTGGGCAAAATTATTGGCACCCTCAAGCACAGCCCTTGGAAAAAATAACTGAAATCAAGTGCTTCCTGTAACCATTAATGAGTCTCTTACACCTCTCTACAGGAATTTTAGACCACTCTTCTTTCACCAACTGCTCCAGGTCTCTCAGATTGGAGAGGATCCTTTTCCCAACTGCTGTTTTGAGATCTCCCCACAGGTGCTCTATGGGATTTGGATCTGGACTCATTGCTGGCCAGTCCAGTACTCTCCAGTGCTTTGTCTGAAACCATTTCTGGGTGCTTTCTGACATGTGCTTTGGGTCATTGTCCTACTGTAAGACCCATGACCTCTGACGGAGAACCAACTTTCTGATACTGGGCCCTACATCGCACCCCAGAATTCTTTGGTAGTCTTCAGTTTTCATAATGCCCTGCACACAGTTAAGACATCCGGTGCCCGGAGCAGCAACCAACCCCAAAACATCAGTGAATCTCCACCATGTTTGACTGTAGGAACTGTATTTTATTCTTTAAAGACCTCATTTCTTTTTCTGAAACCAGTAGAATGATGGGTTTTACCAAACATCTGTAATTTTGTTTTGTCAAAAAGAAAGCTGGTCATTTTGTGCCACAGCAATACAAACAAAAGAAATGACCATAAGAATGCCTAAACATTTGTAATTTGCAACAATTTTCTCTGTGAAGTGGTGCATTACCTGACAGAAATGCAGAGGTGCCAATATTTATGGCCATGATTGTACATATACACCTTGCCAATAGTGATGAGCTTGGGCTTAATGCAAACCCAGGTCTCCTGAGTTTGCCCAAGACAGCTCAAAGTTGTGACAAACGTCCTCCCTGGCTCAATCAGTGGTGGCAGGGGTGGAGGGGGGGGTCTCAATCACAGTTTTGAGAGGGCTTGGGTGAGCTCAGGCAAACTGAGTTCGCACCAAGCCCAATCTCATCACTGCTCGCCAACAATGACATGAATCTTTCACAAGCTATGCCGTGGTTTTCCAATGAATGTCTCCGACACTCTTTATGAATTCCAGGGTATATCAGAAATCAAAGGAGGCCTCAATTCAGAGTTAAAGATCAACAGATTGCTGTTTTATGTGCGTGTGTCAGTTTTATTTGTGTGTGTCATGCCAGTTGTGTATGAGCAACGACCATTGAAGTAAACAATGTCTGCAAATAACGAAATATAACAAAATAACACTTTTACTCCCTTTCATCATTTTGTATTTGCACACCTTATAGTGTATCATGGGAAGTGATTTTTCTATAGAAGCTCAGATTTGTCAGTTACTCAATGATGAGGAGAAGTGATCATAACAGGGTTATTCACAAAAGGGTGAAGAGTTTGGAGAAGGCAGGAGAAGTGAAAAATCTAGCCCTGAATAGCTAAGTTGGAAAAATTCTGCAATTTAGCTCATTTTCCAGTTCAGCTATGTTGTTCACGTCTGTTTTTTTAATAAATTCTTTATTTGTACACAGAAAACAATGCGTACACATAGAAATCATGAAATTAAACATCTCAACAGTATGGTCACAGAAAGCCTAAGAGGTGCATGAATGGTATACACAAATTCCACAGTCGAGGGGGGCACACAGCCTCCGTTCACCAGCCACCTAGCCTCATCGGTGGTCCACTGTGTACCCATTCTCCAGGGCGTGGTGTTACCAAACATAGCATTTGGTAACATATCTGTGTTATTGGTGTGCAATCTCTAACATTCAGGATTCCATGATCGCGCGGTATTCCGCAGAGGTAGTGTAGTCTATCCAGTAGTACCAGGAGGCCGAGAATCTGGAGGAGGTGCCCTTGACGGAGCTGGTGAGGTCTTCAATGAGTCTGATATCGTTTATTTTGGAAAACCAAAGCTGGACCGAGTCACCTGTTTCCAAAGCAGGGGAATACATGCACGAGCTGCATTCAGCAAGTGCACTAGAACCGACCGGGATTGTTCACTTCTGTTGCCTTCTCCAAACTCTTCACCCTTTAGTGAATAGACCTGTTGTAAATGTAGTTTGCTAAAGGCAAATAGGCTGTTCCCTTTGCAAGAGAAATTTCCCTAAAGCTAGCCGTAGAGCAGTGTGTGGTCCCATCGGCATCCACTTGTTCAACAAAAGTCAATATTTTAATTGACATTTGTCGAAGGAGCTGGTCTGAAAAAATTTGGCAGAACAGTGACTGCAGCCAATTTGCTGTAGTCACTGTTCATGTATTCTGACAGCAAACATTTAAAAGTCCTTTACATTGGTCTCCTAGATATAAACAAGCAGTTAACCGTTGCAGAGCAGAGGTAGTATTTTTTCCCCCCGCAGTTAGGCTTCAAGTCATTGACTATTATTGAGTATACAGATAAGGTGCTCCTACTTTACTCTGACTTTCCTAAGGCCCCATTCACACCAGGGCGGATGCGTTTCAGCGCGGTTTCCGTGCAAATTCTAAAAAGGCAGTTTTGGGCATTTTATTTGCGTTTCAGCGCTGAAACGCAATTAAAAACGCTCTGATCAACACGTTTCCATTCAAATCTGTATGGAATCTGCGCTGCGCAGCAAGGAAAAAAAGGCTCAGGGAGCATTTCAGGCGGCAGGTGGTTCAGATCGTGTGGCAGCGCATGATCGCATGAACGGTCCCTATAGGAATGTATGGGATCGTTTATGTCGGCGGTTCAGCGTGGACAAATCCGAGCGACCGAACCGCCCTGGTGTGAACGGGGCCTTAATCACACCTATGCATTGTGGTAACCCATGGTATAATGTATTTTACCAACGACTACAGTAGCCTGCAACACACCTGAGCTGTAGCGCACTACATTCCCTACTCTGTGCATTGTAGGTGTATTAAAAAAAACATGCAAGTCTGTTTTTTTTTTGTCCATCGCCACATGCAGGAAGCTCATTCTTTGGCATGTTATAGTGCATGTGGTGAGCCACTGCAACGGATCAGAAAGGAGTAAGGGGGTCCCTAAAGTGCAACTAAAGCCAAAACCTGGAGAGTATTAGAACTGGAGTGAAGGTGAAAGAAAATCTTCCAAATGGGAGACTAGTTCTTCTGACCCTGCTGACCACCAGGGATTTCCCTCTCTTTGGAGGGATTTCCTTTCACTTCTTGTTGTGGCTATTGGACAGGAAGTGAAGAGAAATCTCCCCACAAAGATAGCAATTCAGCTGTTATAAATAACCTTCCCTTATTCTATTCAATACTAAAAAAAATAGGTTTGGCCTTTAGTTCTACTTTAGAGCTGGGCCAAGGCAGGCAAATAGATAAAATCAGTGGACTGTGTGAGACCGGAATCAGCGGTGACAGCAATTTTGTAAGCTGGATTCTTTTGCTTTCTATTTCGGATGATTCACACTTTAGAGATTGTAGTGTCAGGCAGGGCACTGGACAAAGCTCTAGGGACAAAATTGAAGTGAAATAGTTTGATATATAAGTGTAATCAGAGCAGATTACATTGTATTGTGGTTCAGATTTCCCCATCTGTGGCCACCTGTATTTGATCTGACACTGATAGATAAAGGATGTCTCATCAGCTGATTAAATCCAAGAATATCAATGAGGGATGAGTAAATATTGTGTCATTGTTTCCTCTAAGGTTAAATGTACAAGGAAGCCGGTTTTATTTGTAGGGTATTAGTCAGCTGCTTGTTGTAATACTGTCACGGAGGCCACTGACAAGTTAGGTAACTTCTACTTAAAGGGCCAATAGTGTATTCAGTAAACTGTATGTGGTTAATACGTGGAATGATATAAAACCTTAAACTGTGTCTCGCTCTGAATCTCTCTATTCAGACTGAACTCTTCTGTGAATAATAGAAAACATGCAATGATCTTAAAGTGCACTGTATATATAGAGGACATGAGATAGACCACACTTGGTATGAATCTCATAATTGAACAAATGCTGAAAGAAGAATCAACCATCAGCGGGGAAGAAATGGTGAAGCGAACAACATGTAGAAAGGAGCAGGCTGTGTGACCGTGCCATCAGGATACCAACACGTCCTGATACATTTAATTGTATATTGATGGATTTTGTCAATATATGTGCTTTATGTTCTGGGCGCCCGGGGCAGACATTTTT